CCTTTGTAGCCTTGTAGTTTAGTTAATTAAAATTTTTAAAAATACTACTCATCAAAGATATAGATATAATTGATTAGTAGCATTTCAAGCCAAAACGAGCCAAACACGAACAAACAAATATTTGTTCGTGTTGTTTGTGTTTGGCTCGTTAACTTAGCGAACGAGCCGAACGCGAGCTTCTTAATGAGCCGAACGCGAGCTGTTCATGAACAACGAGCCGTTTTGACAGCCCTATACGTGATAAGCGATCCTCCATCCATGAGTGTGGCTTTTGCTTAGATTTGCCACATTATGGTGTATTGATTGTCATGCCTGCTGCCCCTTTTATGATTTTGTATATGCGGTCAAAAGTGTAGGTATAGTTTTCCTGCATCTGATAAGCCTGATAGCAGGGGTGGTTATAATTGGTTAAAAGTTGGTTCATTCTTTGCTCAAAATCTACCAGCAACTTTTAGATGTTCTTAATGTTTGCTCTGGCAAACTTATAGAATTGGGTTTTTAAAAACTTTTATTGAGGATATAGTTGTCATTGTATTATTTCCTTTTGTTGCTTATTTTTTATTGACCAATCTAATTATGCATTTACTATTGCCAACCCTTGGAACAACTTATCAGTTAACTATCAAATATATTTTTCTAAAGTAGCCCCATCTTACTCTTGCGGTTGGGTGGTTCGGCTCCCACCTTGGATCACATGAGGCTTGTACATAAGGGGGTGTGTGAATTTGAGATTAAATTCACTCAAAGTCCATTTTTTTTTTTCTAATCTTTACCATGAAGGAGAACATTTTGGCAAAAAAAAAAAAAAAAAAAAAAAAAAAAAAAAAAAAAAAAAAAAAAAAAAAAAAAAAAAAAGAAAAAGAAAAAAAGAAAAGAAAAGAGAAAATCATTTTGTTTTAATAATATAATGCACATATACTTGAATGTTTGCTAGTTTTTCTGAATGTGCTTGTTCTTATGTGCATATTAGCGTGCCTAAAGCATATTGACATCCGTCCACTTATTTTTATAATGGAAATCATCATGCAAAATTTTGAGATTGATCACAGCCCTGGAAATTGCATGGCTTTGGTTTTGATGTTATTTTTCATCTAAATACCTCTTTCTTCTGTAGTTGTAGCTTTGAAAAGGAAGAGAGACGAGCTTTATCAAACCTTTTGACACTAGGTTTTGAAAAACTTACTTTTTTTTTCTGTCATTATTGAGGAAGCAGGAATATGTATTGGACCTAAAGTATCTATACTGATATGGTATCATATCCTTATCTATGATGACATAGAAAATATTCACTACAGATGCCATATTAAATTCAATTTTAATAAGAATAAACTATGAAACCAGTGTATGTTGTATGCACAACATAGGCTATTAACAAGTTGTCACTTTTGGTTGCTTTAAAATGTCTTCTTATCTTGTTTTTCTTAAGATATTTGAGATTGTTATTTTTAGTCCTACATTAGATGGTTGAAAAATATGTTGCCGTATAAATAATTTCATGTCAAACTTTTGGGTTAAAAATAGATTTGACCATTGATATATTAAGCACAACGTTAACACTCTTTGGTTTGCATCCTCCTAAAGATTTTTGAACTTTAGTCATTTTTCTTATGCCATATGAACCTATGATTTTTATGTTCATGTTTAGTAGATCATAATTTAGTAGAAAATTTGGAAGATCCAAATAATCGAATGTACAAAAATTTAAAAGGAAACAATTTATGTTATTATTTTATTTATAGCACAACTTAGATTGATAGTAAGGATTTTCCTTGTTTTAAATTTTTTTTTTGTTTTTTCGTCCACCTGTTTTCCTCTAAAAGTCGACAAATTTTGCCTTTGATGATACACCAAGTTTGAATGAGGCCATGGCTTCGAGTTATTGCTCTTATTCTAGGGGCCAATATAATTTTCTCTAACACACAAGAAAAAAATTGTCTTTCATCGGCCTGCAAATCTTCAATAGCTTCATTTTTTTAGGTACTTTTGAGTTGTCTTCACAATCAGTATCGAGATCGAACAACTGTAATTGGTATTTTCTAGGAGATTAATTAGATTTGTGTCCTGGTGGTAGACAACTAAAACACTTCCTAGTCCAGGTTTAATGTAATTGTTCTCTCAATTAATATTAGATTTGGGGAGAACTTTAGGCTTTGCTTTTGTATTATTGGGGTTGTCATTTTTGAACTGAAGGGAGCTCAGTTTGGATCCTAAAATCCCTCATTTAGTCTTTTGGACAAGGTAAAATTATCCCTCATCGCAATTGATAAGGTTTGGATACTCTAGATTGTTGTAATTCGATTTTATAAGTGAAACTGCAAAATTCACAGCCTGTGAAAGAGACCATATCAAATTCATATGTAACTTTTCTTGGATTGATCTTTTAGACCTCCAATATATTTGACCACGAACTGCTAATCTATTCACTGAGATTATTTCTGGCACTTAGTCAATAAAATTCAGTTTGATCTCGTTGCCTACACCTTGGGCATTATAAGTATAACATCTAATCATAATCAATGGGAAGGAAATAATCACGCATTAGTTTGCTTCATCATCGCCCAGTTTTTACAATACAATGACCTTCGCGTTTGTGGGATTGAACCAACTTCAGCTACCACGCTCCTTCCCACTCTTTAATTGACATACCCTATACTTCACGTGTTTTTTCAGAGGAATTTCCATATACTCAAAGAATGTGTCTAAAACTTGATCCTAATCTTAATTATCTTCTATATGTGGATGACCGCCAAAATAAGGGATATCCAATTTCACCTTGAATTCGCTCTGAGGACTATGTGTGTTTCGACGAGTTAGCGGCTTTGAACAACATTTTGTATTACTTCAGATTCCCAATAAGAGATTTTGGGACACATCCTATGTGATATCCAATCATCCTCAAGCTCCATTCTGATGTATCTTGTGGAATCTTGATTAAGTAAAATGGGATTTCCCCACATTGGTAAGGTGGTTGGTGTGTTCTTTGGTTGGGAATTAACACCCTTGGATGACTTGAGCTCACGCTACACCTCTACAACAAACTGTGGAAGGTTGTTTCTAGAGAATCTAGAGTGGACAATGCCATAAACACCGCTTCCTAGTCATAATTATCGTCGCCAATTGGATGTTTGCCGATTTTTCATAGCCATGAAAGGATTACTAATGGTCCTTCATATACTAAAGCAATAACTAAAAATTTTATACCCAACTAATTTAGAATATTAAAGCAAAATTATAACTAAATCTCTATATTAAATTCAATTGGTAGGAAAGGCCTGGTATGCTGTCTGATGAGGCCGTAGCTACTACACCACTTGCTTAGATATCTACGTATTCAGGCACATAGTTAACAAGTGATCCAAAACCAGGGTGCCAAGAGCTTTTGGAAATGGTAGAAATTATCTAAGATTAAGAGAAATGATTTCTATTGAGGAATTGATGGGATTTGCTTGATTCCTATAATCTATTCTAGAGTAGAGAGAAGATGGGCTGATTACCTTGCTTCTTAGAACTAGCATCTTTGAGTTTGATCAAACCTTGGACTGCATGTTGATGAGAGACAGCGGGAGAGATAGAGAGGCTTTCTTAAGCCTCTTGACTGAGAATTGGCTTACGACTGAGAATTGGAGGTGGAAAATATGTAAATTATTTCAAGGTTAGTTAATGCATCATGAAGACTCATTTTATAAAAAATCTACGAGTCATCTCTTTATATTCATAATCATAACTAAATATATTAATTGAGGAATTATTATCTTAAATTTCTGAATTCATTCAATTTTTTGTTAGCCATCCTCGAGAAGTTGCTTATAATTCAACAACGACAACAATAACAACAAAGCCTTAATCCCACTACGTTTGGTCGGCTACATGAATCCTTTTTCTCCATTACGCCCTATTTAGTGTCATATTTTCATTTAGTTCTAGTAAGTTAAATCATTTTTTATACAATAAGCCCAAGTCTTCCTATGTCTACCTCTGTCTTTCTTGACACAATTCAAATCTAAAACATCTACTCTCCTAATCGGATCGTCAAATGGTCGACCTTTAATATGACTAAACCATCTAAGACAACTTTCTCTAATTTTGTCCGTCACAGGATTTATTTAATTTTAATTAAAGTTGCTTATAATTCGAGTACTTAAAATTAAGGAGAAGGATTTTGTAGTGTGATTTTAGGTTTGTTTTTAATTCTCACAATATAAATCGATCTTCTTTTCTTTTCTTTGTCATCTCTTCCTATATCTGATATTTAAAAATTACAAAATTATAATATAATCTTTCCTTAATTTTTATTTGCAAATTTAATTTTTCAAAGTTAACATTGCAAAATTTCTGGCCACTATCTGTTCCCCCATGTTATTTGCTTTTGCAAATGAAATCAATCATGAAAAAATAATGGCTTAAAAATAAGATCAATACTAGCTAATGATATTGATCTTACTTACATTAAAAATTGAATTATTTCTAATCCAAACTAAGTAGCTTATCTTATCTATATCATGCGACTATCTAGCTAATAGAACCCATCATCAGAATTTTTAGGCAGAACCCATTTCC